ATTTTCCGGAAAAATATAATAATTATACATTCCGGAAAAGGTTAAGAGGGTATAGAACATTTTCCGGAAAGTTATATTACATTTCCGGAAGTTATATTACATTCCGGAAAAAATAATTATATTTTCCGGAAAAGTGGTAAGAGAGTATAGAACATTTTCCGGAAAGTTATATTACATTCCGGAAAACAAGTTTATTTTATCAAAACCTATAAATAAACTTGTTTTATTTAAATACAAGTTTTACAAAACAAATGTTTGAAATGCAACAAACATCCTTAACAGACCAACACCTAATTATCCCAACAACAAATAATACCAACAAAACAACAAAAACAAATCGAACAACAAACAACAACAACACAAACTTTGTTTTAGAAAGTTGGAATACTTCTCAACATGTTGGCGAACAAAACATTATTTCTTCTAATAGAGTTTCTTCTGATTTGGTCTCCACAACAACTTTAATGCCTTCTTTTCCCTCGTCGTTTGTGGGAGGCGTTGGTGGAGGCGTTGGGTCGAGTCCTTTGGATGAATTATTTAAGGTGTTTTTCTAGGGGATTTTTCTTTCCAAAAAAATTTTTTTCTGAAAATTTTTACTCTCAAAAAAATTTTTTTTAAGATTCAAGAGCGTCTCAATCATGACGGAGAATTCCCATCTTCAACAGCTTCTTCCTCCTTTACACCCAAATTACCGGCTTCCTCCTCATCCTTATCACAACTGAAAGATTCCCATTTACTTCAACAACCAACATCTTCAGAGGAGAATTTGGAAAGTAAATAAAAATATTTTTATTTTAAGTCCTTCCCTTTTCAGCCTCAACACTTTTTGACCCTTTAATAAATGCACAACAACTTGGCAACCTTTCTTCCTATTCTTCCCCATTCGTTCTCGATCCATCCTCTCCCTCTGTATTAATGTTGTCTTCGTATGCTCAGCTTGCCCCCACAATGGTAAAAATTAAAATTAAAACAAAATTGTAATTAAACACAAAATCAGGCTGCTGCAGTTGCTCAGGCCGCTGCTTCGACTAGTTGGAGTGGGGAAATGGCAGCTTTATTGTGTAGAGGTGAAGGGGAAGGAATAAACAGTGCTGCAGGGTTTAGAGGAAGTTGGGGAGGCGATGGAAGTGGTTATCTTGGAAATGCTTTGGGAGGTAATAAAAATAAACTTGAATTTGTAAAAGTTAAGTTTACAAATTGTAATAATTAATTAATTGTAAAACTTAGATTTACAAATTGTAAAACTTAAGTTTATAAAACTTTACGGAACCATAACAGATAATTTACAACTTTGAGTTGTAAATTGTAATATTTAATTATATTTTCCGGAAAATAAACTTTCCCGAAAACATGAATTGTAAAACTTATGTCTATAAAACTTTCCGGAATATAATAATTGAATTATATTTCCGGAAAATAAAAAATAAATAAACTTTCCGGAAGAATAGCAAGGTTAAATAAACTTGAATTTGTGTTTGTAATTTATAGGATTGTAAATTGTAATATTAAAATAATTGTAAAACTTTCCGGAAACATTTAATAATTTAATATTCCAATAAGATTTAATTTTAGCCCTAGTTCACCCTTCACAAACTTCCTTCACCCCCAATTTCTTTTCTTCAACAACATCGGATCGAACTTCACTCTCTCAGTCGTACCCCTCTTTTTCTGCTTCCTTTGCAGACCTGAAAACATTAGCAACAACTAGAGAATTACAACAAAACACCCAGGAAACAAATATTCCTCAACCACAAGAGCGCTCTTTTTCCACCTCCTCAACAGCAATTATTTCACAATTCGACCAACACAAACTTCGTTCTAGTAAAAATAATAACATTGGTAAACAATCCCAACAACTTAAAAACAAAGCAGGCGGTAAAATGAGAGCAAGTGTAAATACTAAAAGCAACTGTGAATGTCCAAACTGTAAAGAATTGGAAAGATTGGGTGGGGGTTTATAAATAAACTTGAATTTGTGTGTTTTGTAATTGGTAGATTGTAAATTGTAATGTATAAATTTGTAAAACTTTCCGGAAAACATTTAAAAACTTCCCGGAATTTTCCGGAAACATTTAATAATGTTTGTAGTAAACTTAAGTTTTCAAGTTTGTAAAGTTGGTGAGAGATCTAGAAACATTTAATAAACTTGAATTTTTAAGTTTGTAAATTAAGTTTTATGTCCAAGTTTTGTGATTGTTTTAAGTTTGTAAAGGTGGCGAGAGTTAAATAAACTTGAATTTTTAATTCAAGTTTAATTAAATTTTGTTTTAATTATAAGTTTTTAAGTTTGTAAAAACATTTCCAAACATTCTTCATGTTTGTAAACTTAAGACTAAAATAAACTTAAAAAACTTTCCGGAAACATCTAAACTTAAGTTTGTAATAAACTTAAGTTTTTAAGTTTGCAAAGTTGGTGAGAAATCCGGAAGCATTTAATAAACTTGAATTTTTAAGTTTGTAAATTAAGTTTTGTGTCCAAGTTTTATAAGTTTGTAAAGGTTGTTTGAGTTAGACCAACTTGAATTTTTAATTCAAACTTGAGTTAGGGAAAGTTTTGTTTTTAAGTTTTATAATGTTTTTAAGTTTGTAAAAACATTTTCAAGCATTTTTATATTTGCATACTTAAGTTCTATGCTTAAGTTTTTTTAATGTTTTGATTTTCTATTTAGTAATTTTTAAGTCAAGTTTGTAAATTTGCTGTTTGTATTTTTGCGAGTATTTTTCAATGTTTTCTTCACACTTTTATTTTTTGTATTTTCCCTTATTTTTGCTTATTTCTAAATTACAAAAATAAAATAAAAACAGGTGCACAAATAGACCAAAAATACGAAAAACACAACTGTCATGTTCCTGGCTGCCATAAAGTATATAGCAGAAGTTCACACTTGAAGGCCCATTTGCGATGGCATAGTAATGACAGGCCGCCGACAACTGTGAATATTTTTTTGAAAAAATAAAAAATAATTTTCTAAATTTAACAGAAAAGACGTCTTTTTGACCCTCCAGAAGGACCTCCACCTAAGCCAGTTCCTCTAAATTTAGATCTCAAAGCGTTAGCTGCTACAGTCCAATCAGGCCAAAATTTGGAACAAATGAGAGGAAGAGAAAATTAAAAAGGAAAGAGAATTGATAAAAGATAATTTTGATATTTTATCATATTTACTAATTTGTATAATTTGAAGAAATTAAAATTCCAGAAAAATTTTTTGTTTATACAAACTTCAAATTTGTTTAGACATCCATGATAGAGATTGAGATTTTGTTGAGAAAAGCCTAGACCTGTTCCTGGACTCTGGAGTTGATTTCTTGACTTGGACTGGATCCTGGGCCTGTAGTCCAGGAAAACCCAGGAAGGTCAAAAAATGCCTGGACCTGGACTCTGGGTACAGGAAAAACTTAGGCCTTCGTCCAGGTCCAGCTCGATCTCTAATCCATGATATCATAAAATATTGGTCCACGGTCCGTCGGGGGAGAACTTTTTTAAAGAACGTCTTCTTGGGTCTTAGAATTCCCGTCGGGATCCCGTCCCGCTTCGCGGATTTTACGCGGAAGACGAGATAATCCCGCAGGATGCCGTCCCGTATAAAATGCTGAAAAAAATCCCATTACGCGATCCCGGGAATGCGATTTTACCGATCTCTACTGCAAATTAAAGATTATTAAATCCTCAAACTCAAATTTTCAACCCGTAGTTACTGATTCAGAGAGTTTCTAAAACGTTAAACCTGCTTATATTTTTAATTTTGAAAGTTTCCACAAATTAATAAGTTTGGCATAGTGTTTATTTTGTTTTATTTATTTTTCTCTAACTACTCTCTTATTTTTACACACTATTTCACAGCTTTACTTAATTTTTAGAGATTTTCTGGCTCCCCTACAAAGGATAGATGAATTAAAGGATAGATGCGCTAAAGGATAGATACGGCCAAAAACTATCAAAGGATAGATGCATCAAAGGATAGATGCGCTAAAGGATAGATACGGCGAAAAGCGATCAAAGGATAGACAGCTGAATAGGTCGTTTGAGTCTGGACAAAAATGTTTAATAATCTGAATCTTCGCTGGAAAAACTGTTTTTGTGCTGCTACGGAGGGTAGGCCGGGCATGGTCTTCGCTACACGATGGCCGTGTTTCGCTGCGGTCGTTCTCGCTTCGCTCGCGGCGACCGTAGCGAAGCGGCGGCCGTCGTTCCGCTCGACATGTCCGGCTTCATCCGCAGCGGCAAAAAATTTTTTCCGCGAATATACTAAAGTACAAATAAAATAAAAATCAGAACAGAAACATGAAATCAGAACAAAGATCTGAAAAAAACAAACAAAGATCAGGCACTCAACAGTTGGTACTCAACTGGACTCCAAACTTTATCTATGTTTTACCCAATTTTAGACGTGTCTATACTTTAATGGATTCTACCCCTATCTATCCTTTGGCGCATCTATCCTTTGATGCATCTATCCTTTAATCGTTTTTTGCCTTATCTATCCTTTAGCAGCTTTTGGCCGCGTCTATCCTTTGATCGATTTTAGCCGTATCTATCCTTTGATTCATCTATCCTTTGAGCGGGCACGGATTTTCTAGCTTTAATTAGGGGTGATACGGAGGTTATCTCGATGGGATTTTAAGCATTCCCGTTCTAAATTCCCAGTATTTTTATAGACTTGTGGGGTTTTCTGGGTTAATCTTCTTCACTTGAGGTACTTTTCGGTTTTGCCACACCCCTCCCATATATCCGCAGGATATTATTTCGTTTTTTTCTTAATTTTTACAGAAAGGTCAGTCTTCCTTCTTCCTTAATTTCACAATGGAAAGAAATTAATCTTTTCTTTGCTCTTTGAACATACCACAGGGAAAATTGAGTGAAATTGAGGAAGAAAGAAGACTGACCTTTCTGTAAGAATTAATGAGTATAGAAATAATATCTTGCGAATATATGGGAGGGGTGTGGCAAACCGGAAAGTACCTCATTGGATCCCTGACTTGTGGGCTCACTTTAATTTTTATTTTCTTCCAATTTAGACTTGTTTAATCAAAAAATGGTTGTTCGAACATTAATTCCATCACACTTTAAAGCTCCTTGGGGATTTGCAAAGAAGGGTGCTAAAGGACTTCGAAAAATAGGTCCACTGCATTATGAATCGTGGAAGTGGCCTGGACAGAATAGAGAATTTCCTGAATTGTCTCCAAAATGGCAGAAGAATAATACAATGGAATTGAGAGGTTTGTTTTGCTATTTTTTTTATTAAGGAGGGGGGGGGGGGAATGTTAATAAGAAAAGTAGGGATTGACCTGTTTCTGGATCAGGACCTTAAATTTTCCTGGAACAAGAGCCGAAAGCAAATCGTTTTTCGGTGTCCCTATACTATAGGGAGTCAGTCCTATATAGTCAAGTCCTCAAGTCCCTATACTTGAGGTCAAGAATTTGTGTAAGGATGATTCACCCAGCAGCATTTAAAACGCTTAGGCGGGGGATAAACTATCTAAAAAGGAAAAAGAGAAAGCATTAGTCGATGCCCCGGTAGCTCAAAGGTAGAGCTCCTGCATATAGTGAGCGAAAGCGCCTAGCAACAACTAGCAGGTGGTCACAGGTTAATCCTGCCCGGTGGCTAAACTTTTGCAAATTCTTTCTTTTGGACAAGGTCCTTATTTAAGCCCAAGGTTTTTCTCATTTCTGAGTAATTGACTGTTTTCTCTCACATCAAAAATCAGATAAACGGGTAACATTTTAAAAGAAACACTTTTTTCTCCGCTCTTTTTGGTCTAATCCTTTAACTGTTACACGCCAGGAAACGTGTTGGTACGCAAAATATTTTCCCTATTATAGGAATTTGGGGAATTTTGATTTTTTTGAATTCTGATTCCTTGATTTTCAGGAATTGGACGCCACGTTCTTTGTACACCCCATTTTCTTGAGAGCACTTGTGTAGTTTCCCCCACTAAGCCCCGCCCCTTTCCTCCTTTCTGAAATTGTTTCTGCCATTAAAAAAAAGTTTTTAAAGGATACACTGGTGTTCAACCAACAGGCTATGACGATCCAAATACTGGCAAATTTGTTCATCTACCCGAAATGATTCCTTAATTAATTGTTCCTGATTTGACTAGTTTTCCATTGAGACCTTATGTTTCCTACAGAACTGATATTGAAATTGAAAAACGGTTTTTTTATTTATTTTGGGTTGACGACATCTAAAATGAGTATTGGACTGGATAGGATAGACAAAGGAATTTTGGTAATAGTGTCGTTTCCAGTTTCCTTTTTTTCCTCACCAAATTTGTTCCTATAATTTGTACAAGATGGGAAGACTTTTACTTCATCCATCACAATTGCCTTACAATATTCTGCCTACAACAAGCAAGAATGATTATTTTTTATTCAGTTATTTAGAAAGAAAGGCAAATGTGATGGAAGGAGGAAAAGTCTGTCCATTCTGTACAAATTATAGGAAAAGACTTGGTGAAGAAAAAAGGGGGACTGGAAACGACACTATTACCAGAATTTTTTTACTCGGAAGATTATTTCCTACCCTAGTCCCCAAATTGTGTTAAGGTGTAAATTCTGGTTATTTAACAGTTTGGAAATAAATTTTCTATTGCCTCCTACAGAACTTTAAAAATCTATATGGTCCTTGAATCTTTCCAATACTTGGATATGCTTTAGCCGGTGGCCCACTCAGAAACGGGACAAATTATACAAATCAAATCGGTTTCGCTGATTTTGATGTCATTCGACTCAGCTCGAGGTGTTTTTTCGAATGAGCCTATCATTTGCTTATTTGAACTGTTCACCCCAAAAATGTGCTGGGTCCCCCCTACGGTTTTTCGGTTTTTAAGGACCCATATCTCGGCTTGTAGGCATTTCCGCAAAAAAGAGTGCTGATGTGAGTACCATTCGACTCAGCTCGCCGAGACGAATCTAATGGTATATAATTTGTCCCGTTTCTGAGTGGGCCACCGGCTAAAGTACGGCCCAATAGTTTATTTATGTTTCCTTTTTTTGAAAGAAAGCTCGAATCTACGAACATTTAACAGTCATTGTAGGGGCCAGCGATCCCGACGCCTTGACTTCTGTAAATTGGGAATTCCCTACATTTTTTGGTTCGGAACCGATTTTCATAATTTATAAATTTTTTGTGAAATTTCTCGGGAATTTATTCAGCGTTTACAGGATCCCTAATACTTGCTTCGATTTTTTATTTTTCTATTTTTAATTTTTAGGATTGCTAATACCGACAAGATTTTGGCTAAAAACCCCAAAAATCCTCCAATCGACAAAATTTGGCCTCCTCCACTTGTTAACGCCAAATTACTTTTTGATTGTTTTTATGCTGATGAAATAAAGAAGAAATATTTGGAAACGACAACTGAGAAGAAAAAGAAAAGTGGATTTTTTGCGTCGCTAATTAAGAAAAATTGAGTGAGTATTTAAATGTTTTTTATACCGGGGAATGTCACGGGTTACCTGAAATTCGGATTTCTTCAAAACTTTCAAATTTATTGGAGAGTCAAAATGTTTTCTTTTGAAGGGGTCAACCCTGAAGACCTACTGACTCTGAAGACTCACTGACCCTGAAGACCTACAATTTTTTGATCAACACAATTTTTTATTTTTTATTTCTTTGCAAGTCTAATCGGGGGATTTAAAAGAGGTAAAGAGGAACTAGGAGGGATTAAGGGGTATATCGATGGATTTGAAGGTTCTAAAGGAGATAGATAGATTAAGAGGATATCGAGGATTTTGAGTGTTAAAGTGGATAATGATCCCCTTTAATCCCTCAGACTCACCTATTAAACTCGTAAAGGTTGTAGGTCTTCAGGGGTGGACTCCTTTTGAGGGTTTCTTTTTAAATAAAAATATTTTTAATTAAAATTTTTATTTTTTTTTAGTTTCAACAACAAAATGCTCTTGAAACAGATCAACTTCAAAATAAACATGAAACAACCAGATGGAGAACAACAACTTTTTGTGCTTTTTTGGAAAAAAAGGATGACGAGGGTAAAAACATGAAAGTATTTTTAAATGTTTTTTTTGTGTTTTCCGGAAATGTTTATATCCACCCAAAACCTTATTGCTATAGTCTTGCAAGGGCGTAGCCAGGGGGTCGATTTCGGGGGGAGGGGTGGGGCTAGGCCCTTGTAGTCTTGTAGTAATAAGTAAGGATTGCTTAGGTACGGATAAGTTTTTAGGTTGTTCATCTCCTTTTTTGCTAAATAGCCAAACGATTTTTAAAGAACCTAGCGGGTATCTAATTCAGTAGTTATAATATATTTGAACGTAGGAAATTTTTTTCACTTTTTCATCTTCTCTCAGTTTTTTACATTTAAGCTTGCTACTTTTAATACATCCAAAGCACCTCAAAAAAAACCAAAATATTCAACTAGATGAATTTAAAAATTAAACATAAATTAAAAACTATTTGAAAAAAAACTGTTAAAAATAATTGGAAGATTTTTGAGGAAATAAAAAGTCGCATTACTGAACATTTAACGAATTTCTAGATCGAGATAATTTTTGGGAAGGTAAATTATCTTTATACAGATTCTCTCTTTCCGAAATACTGATATTGCCTCAAATGTTATTGAGATGTCCATAGCTTGTCCTGCAGGTATTATTGAGTGGGAAGGCCAAATGTTTATTTTTTCTGGGTTGGTGCTGTAAACTCGAATAACCACGTTGGTAGGCAGAGGGTTCAAAATCTTAATTTTAACAAAATAATTTTTGAAAAAAGGTAAAGTGAAATACCCGGATATTTAACGTCTGTTGACAAGTAAAAGGTCCGTTAACGTAAAATTTCTTTTCATCATTGAAGATAATGTTAATGTTTTTTGTTCCACGAAATGTTGAAGTTGTAAAGTTATTCTTTTTGTTTAAATTGAAAGAATTTATCCAGTCGATAGTAAACATTTGTGGAGGAAGTGCAGTGAAAAAAGTATTTGAAGTAACTTCGATTCTGGTCTTTTCTTTTCCGTTAATTGTCCCAACATTAGGTTCAAAAGTAATTATTGTAGACGATGAAGAGATGCGGAAATCTATAGCATTAGCCCAGTATTTTTAACGGCAATAGATTTTCGATTGTCTTCTTCATATACAACAATTACCTTCACACCAAAAGTAGGAACACTTGCCGGAAAAGAAGAGATCAAAATTGAAGTTACTTCAAATGCTTCTTTTGCTGCCTGTCGTCAAAAAATCTTCACTATAGATTGGATCAATTCATTTAACTTGAACAAAAAAAATTATTTCACAACCTAGGAATTTCGAAGGACAAAAAGCATAAATATAATCTTCAATTCTGAGAACAAATTTTATCTAAACGGACCTTTCAATCAACAACAAACCTTAAACACTCGGGTATTTCACTTTAGCTTTATTCAAAAATTATTTTGTTAAAATTTAGATTTTGAACCCAACGGATACTAATGTTGTTATGCGAGTACTCAGTACGAATCCTGAAAAGATACATATTTGGGCGACACATGCTATTATTCCAAAAGGGCAAGCCATGGACATATCAATAACATTTGAAGCAATAACGAAGTTTAGAAAGGAGAGAGTCTGCGCCAAAATTATACATCTTCCACAAAACTTTCTTAATCTTCAAATTTCTGATATGTTTGTTTCTGCTCCGTTTTATCACATCAGGAATTTTCCAATCGTCTTCAATTATTAGAAAGTTAGGCTTGGCTGCTTTTGGATGTGTTGTTGGTATAAAAAGAATAGATGGAGGTGTAAATAAATTTATTTTTTTGTGTATATAGTATATTTTTTTTAAATTTTGTGTGATGTATTTTTGGATGTCCTCCTTAATCTCTCTTTATTCCTTTTCGAAATTTGTTGTAGGTTTTAGGGTTAATAGGTCTTCGGGGTTGACCCCATTTTTTTGGAACATGTTTTATTTTTAAACGTAGGATTAAGATTTTAAAAATATTATAAATTTTTTTCGATACTCAAATATCTTGCTTTGGGGGACTTAAAAAATCACTCATTTTCAAAAAACGGTTAAAGGAAACTTGGAACAAAAAAACTTGAAAAATTTGCTTAGACTAAAATTTACTTAAAATGTCATTTTTCAGCAATTTCTAAAAAGCCCATAATTTCTCCTAAATTTCTAAAAAAAATTTTCTCAGCCAAATTTTCTAATAATTAAAAAAATAGATTCCAAGTCAAAGAAAACATCCAAAAACACAATTACTTTTCATAACAAAATTTTTTTTAAAAATATGTACAGATAAATGAATATATTTATTCCTCCTCTTTTCATCTTTTCTTTAACCAACAAACATCCAAAAGCAACCAGCCTAATTTCTAACGATTGAAGACGATTGGATAATTTATGATCAAATAAAACGGCGCATCCACAAACATTTGAGAAATTTGAAGCTCAAGGAAATTTGGGGCAGATTTATGATTTTAACTAGAATTCGCTCCTTCCTAAAAATTGATATTGGCTCAAAATTTATTGCGATGTCCATAGCACCACCCCCAGGAATTATTGAATTGGAAGGCCAGATATGTATCCTCTCAGGATCTGTACTTAATACTCTCATAACAACATTGTAAGGCAGAGGGTTGCGAATCTAAATTTTAAAAAAATAATTTTTGAAAAAAGCTAAAATGAAATACACTGGTATAAAGTCTGTTTTTGATTGAACGGTCCGTTGCAATAAAACTTGTTCTCCGCATTGAATATAATGTTGATATTCTTCGTTCCACGAAACTGAGAAGTTGTGAAATTGTTTTTTTTGTTCAAGTTGAAAGAATTTATCCAATCAATGGTAAACATTTCTGGACTACGGGCAGCAAAATTTGTATTTGTGGTGACTTCGATCCTGGTCTCGTTTTTTCCACTAATTGTCCCTTCTTTTGGAGCAAATGTAATTGTTGTCGTCGATGAAGATATGCGAAAATCTATGGGACTAGGCCCGGTATTTTTGATTGTAAATAAAATTGTATGGATGCCGCCAGAATAAGGGTTAAAATAAAGATTTTTTGTTGGTGAAGTTTTTATTGGTGGTGGAGGACTAGAAGCCATTTGCTATATAATTGAACAAAAAAGTTGGAAGCAAGGTTGGTTTGTTCGAAAAATGATGAGAAAGAAATTAAATAATCGCTGGCTTTTATACCAACTCACAACAGAAATTTACTGTCATATAAACAACATTTTGCCTCCTTATTTTTTGCCAATTACCTACCATAAAATATAACAATATTTATGCTTTCCGGAAGAGTAGTAAATAAGGTACAAAGTACCTAGATAAATTTAAAATTAAAATGAATTAAAAACTCTGAAAATACTTGTTAAACATTATTGATATATTCTTGACGTGATAAAGAGTCGCATCCTGAAACATCTGGTTGATATCAAACTTCAAAAAATTTTTTGGGAGGTAAATAGACTTAATAAAAATTCTCTCTTTTCGAAATTCTTGAATTGGTTCAATTGTCATTAAAATTTCCATTGCAGCACCTCTTGTAATTATTGCATTCGAAGGCCAAATTTTTATTTTTTGGGGATTGGTACTGAATACCTTCATAACAACGTTATCAGGCAAAGTGTTGAGAATCTTAATTAAAAAAATAATTTTTGAATTAAGTAAAGTGATACATACTCGAGTAGCTACCGTTTGTTGCGAATCAAAAGGACTATTAATAACAATTTTATTTTCCATGTTGAATATTACTTCGATAACTTTGGTACTACGAAATCCCGAACATGTGAAAAAATTGTTAAGATTAAGATTCTCAATTAAGATTCTCAACACTTTGCCTGATAACGTTGTTATGAAGGTATTCAGTACCAATCCCCAAAAAATAAAAATTTGGCCTTCGAATGCAATAATTACAAGAGGTGCTGCAATGGAAATTTTAATGACAATTGAACCAATTCAAGAATTTCGAAAAGAGAGAATTTTTATTAAGTCTATTTACCTCCCAAAAAATTTTTTGAAGTTTGATATCAACCAGATGTTTCAGGATGCGACTCTTTATCACGTCAAGAATATATCAATAATGTTTAACAAGTATTTTCAGAGTTTTTAATTCATTTTAATTTTAAATTTATCTAGGTACTTTGTACCTTATTTACTACTCTTCCGGAAAGCATAAATATTGTTATATTTTATGGTAGGTAATTGGCAAAAAATAGGGAGGCAAAATGTTGTTTATATGACAGTAAATTTCTGTTGTGAGTTGGTATAAAAGCCAGCGATTATTTAATTTCTTTCTCATCATTTTTCGAACAAACCAACCTTGCTTCCAACTTTTTTGTTCAATTATATAGCAAATGGCTTCTAGTCCTCCACCACCAATAGAAACTTCACCAACAAAAAATCTTTATTTTAACCCTTATTCTGGCGGCATCCATACAATTTTATTTACAATCAAAAATACCGGGCCTAGTCCCATAGATTTTCGCATATCTTCATCGACGACAACAATTACATTTGCTCCAAAAGAAGGGACAATTAGTGGAAAAAACGAGACCAGGATCGAAGTCACCACAAATACAAATTTTGCTGCCCGTAGTCCAGAAATGTTTACCATTGATTGGATAAATTCTTTCAACTTGAACAAAAAAAACAATTTCACAACTTCTCAGTTTCGTGGAACGAAGAATATCAACATTATATTCAATGCGGAGAACAAGTTTTATTGCAACGGACCGTTCAATCAAAAACAGACTTTATACCAGTGTATTTCCTTTTAGCTTTTTTCAAAAATTATTTTTTTAAAATTTAGATTCGCAACCCTCTGCCTTACAATGTTGTTATGAGAGTATTAAGTACAGATCCTGAGAGGATACATATCTGGCCTTCCAATTCAATAATTCCTGGGGGTGGTGCTATGGACATCGCAATAAATTTTGAGCCAATATCAATTTTTAGGAAGGAGCGAATTCTAGTTAAAATCATAAATCTGCCCCAAATTTCCTTGAGCTTCAAATTTCTCAAATGTTTGTGGATGCGCCGTTTTATTTGATCATAAATTATCCAATCGTCTTCAATCGTTAGAAATTAGGCTGGTTGCTTTTGGATGTTTGTTGGTTAAAGAAAAGATGAAAAGAGGAGGAATAAATATATTTATTTATCTGTACATATTTTTAAAAAAAATTTTGTTATGAAAAGTAATTGTGTTTTTGGATGTTTTCTTTGACTTGGAATCTATTTTTTTAATTATTAGAAAATTTGGCTGAGAAAATTTTTTTTAGAAATTTAGGAGAAATTATGGGCTTTTTAGAAATTGCTGAAAAATGACATTTTAAGTAAATTTTAGTCTAAGCAAATTTTTCAAGTTTTTTTTGTTCCAAGTTTCCTTTAACCGTTTTTTGAAAATGAGTGATTTTTTAAGTCCCCCAAAGCAAGATATTTGAGTATCGAAAAAAATTTATAATATTTTTAAAATCTTAATCCTACGTTTAAAAATAAAACATGTTCCAAAAAAATGGGGTCAACCCCGAAGACCTATTAACCCTAAAACCTACAACAAATTTCGAAAAGGAATAAAGAGAGATTAAGGAGGACATCCAAAAATACATCACACAAAATTAAAAAAAAATATACTATATACACAAAAAAATAAATTTATTTACACCTCCATCTATTCTTTTTATACCAACAACACATCCAAAAGCAGCCAAGCCTAACTTTCTAATAATTGAAGACGATTGGAAAATTCCTGATGTGATAAAACGGAGCAGAAACAAACATATCAGAAATTTGAAGATTAAGAAAGTTTTGTGGAAGATGTATAATTTTGGCGCAGACTCTCTCCTTTCTAAACTTCGTTATTGCTTCAAATGTTATTGATATGTCCATGGCTTGCCCTTTTGGAATAATAGCATGTGTCGGCCAAATATGTATCTTTTCAGGATTCGTACTGAGTACTCGCATAACAACATTAGTATCCGTTGGGTTCAAAATCTAAATTTTAACAAAATAATTTTTGAATAAAGCTAAAGTGAAATACCCGAGTGTTTAAGGTTTGTTGTTGATTGAAAGGTCCGTTTAGATAAAATTTGTTCTCAGAATTGAAGATTATATTTCATTTTTTCCTTTGCATATCATTATCATTTTTTCCTTTGCATATTATCATTTTTTCCTTTGCATATTTTTCCTTTCTTTTTCCATTCTAACTTTGACTGTCCGCGTTTTTCCCGTCCTCGTCCATGTTTTCCTCATTCTTTTTATTACCAATTTTCAATTTTTTGTTCATCAATTATATAGCCAAAATGGCTTCTGTTCCGCCACCTGCCATTTTAACTTCACCAGCTAAAACAATTCAATCCATATTCGGGAGGTATTCAAACAATTTTCTTCACCGTTAAAAATACTGGGCTAATGCTATAGATTTCCGCATCTCTTCATCGTCTACAATAATTACTTTTGAACCTAATGTTGGGACAATTAACGGAAAAGAAAAGACCAGAATCGAAGTTACTTCAAATACTTTTTTCACTGCACTTCCTCCACAAATGTTTACTATCGACTGGATAAATTCTTTCAATTTAAACAAAAAGAATAACTTTACAACTTCAACATTTCGTGGAACAAAAGACATCAACATTATCTTCAATGATGAAAAGAAATTTTACGTTAAGGGACCTTTTAATTGTCAACAGACGTTAAATATCCGGGTATTTCACTTTACCTTTTTTCAAAAATTATTTTGTTAAAATTAAGATTTTGAACCCTCTGCCTACCAACGTGGTTATTCGAGTTTACAGCGCCAACCCAGAAAAAATAAACATTTGGCCTTCCCACTCAATAATACCTGCAGGACAAGCTATGGACATCTCAATAACATTTGAGGCAATATCAGTATTTCGGAAAGAGAGAATCTGTATAAAGATAATTTACCTTCCCAAAAATTATCTCGATCTAGAAATTCGTTAAATGTTCAGTAATGCGACTTTTTATTTCCTCAAAAATCTTCCAATTATTTTTAACAGTTTTTTTTCAAATAGTTTTTAATTTATGTTTAATTTTTAAATTCATCTAGTTGAATATTTTGGTTTTTTTTGAGGTGCTTTGGATGTATTAAAAGTAGCAAGCTTAAATGTAAAAAACTGAGAGAAGATGAAAAAGTGAAAAATTTCCTACGTTCAAATATATTATAATTACTGAAATTAGTACCCACTAGGTTCTTTAAAAATCGTTTGGCTATTTAGCAAAAAGAGAGATGAACAACCTAAACTTATCCGTACCTAAGCAATCCTTACTTATTACTACAAGACTATTGCGATAAGCAATTATTTATTTTATATTTTAAAAATTTTGTGCTATTAAAAGTATAATTTTATTTTTGGATGTTAACTTAGATTTAGAATTTATTTTTTTAATTTTTAAAAAATTGAGCTGAGAAAATTTTTTTAGAAATTTAGGCTGATAAAAGAAATTAGGCTTTTTAGAAATTGATGAGAAATGACATTTTGGTACTTTTCCGTTATGACGTAACCCCCTAAATTAATGTTCAAAATGTCATATATAGGGTAGAAAAAGGTGCTGAGTCGAACGGTAATACTCTTTTTTCACGGAAATGCCTGTCGACCGAGATATAGAGCTCGAAATGGTCAAAACGCATAGGGGGGAGTAAGCTCAATTTTGGGGTAAAAATTCCATATTTTGAATGATAGCTCATTCGAAAGAGCTCCTCGAGCTGAGTCAAATGACACCAAAATCAGCTCGAAATCTTGATTTTGAGACTAGATGAACAAGCTCAAAATGGTCAACGTAAACCTATGGGGCGTAAGCGAGGCGCACTCCCCCTATGGTTTTTGACCATTTCGAGCTCTATATCTCGGTCGACAGGCATCTCCGTGAAAAAAGAGTGGTACCGTTCGACTCAGCACCTTTTTCTACCCTATATATGACATTTTGAACATTAGTTTAGGGGGTTACGTCATAACGGAAAAGTACCGACATTTTAAGTAAATTTTAGTCGAAACAAATTTTCAAGTTTTTTTTGTTTCGTGTCTCCTTTCTTTTACGCACCTGTTTGCAACAAAACCAAAACTTGTCATCATAACATAACAAATGCCTACAAATTAAAAAAAAATTTTTCGATTTTTGAGGTTATTTTTCTTTCGATTCGGTATTTTTGAATTTATTTCGATTTTCGAAGATTTTTTTTGTTCTGAAGCATTTCTGATCCTCACATAAGTA